TATATTTGACCGCTGCTAACACTAAACGTGAACAAACATTTCAGCTACAAACACTGGACTAATATATTCACGCTTGTGGAATAATATTTCGATCACCGGAGATCTGGGATACCAGGAAGATAGAACTATTCTTTGTGTGGTGGTTCAACGGAATACGGAACTACAGAATCTCCTATTTTGAACTGTGAGTCAAAATTTACTTGTATTTTTCTCTTTGTGACTTTGTATCTGGCTTACATCAGTAATTTGTTCAGTTCACTAGTGACTCCATAGGGCCGTTAACCACTACAAGACAGGAGCTTTTTGATCAACAAACATTAAACGCACCCGAGCTAACTATATTTCGATGTATCATCTATTTAATTTTTATCAGCACAAAGATTACTGTACTGAAATCAATCTAATTGATTAATGGTCAACGTCTCCCATAAATTATTCCGCCCGTAGGTGAAAAAGCTCTCTATGAAAATGGATAGAAGAGACTGCCTGTTTCTACAATTATCGTATTGCTTCCCTCGTATGTAAATTGTAATTAAGACTTTGTTTTGTTTAATCCGGATTTACAGGTAAACTATCGCAAAAATAACATAAGCATTTTGTACTAGTGGACAAACCAGTTATACCAACAGCACTTATAGACAGGGCTTGACATAGTTCGATCAATGATTTGACAGTGTATTATTTTTGAACGTGTCACGGTTGCAGTATTTTTTTTAATGTAGTTTACTGATCGCAAAAAATCCAAGACATCCGAACCAACCGACCCCGCGGTATGTTTAGAGGTCTGTTAGGAATACAAATCTCTAAACCTTACTTAACAACCCATCCAACCTAGAGTTGGGTAAACTTGTACAGTTAGTTCAGGCATTTGTGAGGACGAACCTTTCCAACTCATTTCCGAAGACTGCACTTCGAAAGGGAATAATTTAACTGCAGAACGGACTTGCTCCCACAGAAGAGGGAATATCGACAGAATTATTCAAAGTGGACGGACAAATGTTCACCTGGAGTGTACAGTCTTGAAGCCCAAAAATGTTCAAGGACGCCTCCTTTGTACCACTATTCAATGGAAGAAAAAGCCTACAGAAAACATATAACTAGCGAGAAATCAGTTCCATTCGTACTGCAGGCAAGCTACTAGCACGCATCCTGCTTCATAGTGTGAACTTTGATGTTCAGGAATGGAATACCGTTGAACAGTAATTTGGGATCCGAAGTGACCGCAGCGCGATTGATATTATCTCTGAAACTTGGCAGCTACATTGAAAGTTTTTGGATCGGAAACAACTGAACTGCACTCCTGTATAGAGGAGGATGTTGGCAGTTCAAGTAGCGTAGATGGTTGTTTGTTCGTTCACTTTGGCTGTGGCACAACCATCAACCTATCGCTACGCACGCTAGCAACGTACTGATGTCACCTCGATTGGTGACAAAACGTTTGCAACCAAATTGCTCAACTTAACAAACAAACAAACGACAGAACTTCACTCTCTTTGTAGACTCCCTGCGCGCGCGCGAGTCTGGGTGTCTTGACTGGGTTCGGTTTGCCTTTATGTAGGTCCCAGTGCGTGTATGTGGGCGCGTCGGCACATGAGTGGTTGCTGCGCTGACTAGGCGGTGCAGACAATCGATGTCCGATGTGTCAGCTTAATGCGACGTGTTTGTGCGTATGAGAAAAAGACAAGCCTCGCGATCCAGTGAGCGACTGTGAGTTGAGCAGTCAAGAGTGTGAGTGACGGGGTCGCTACAAGCTGCAGGAGTGAAAGATCCATACACGAGTGTGGGAGGATATCGGCGCTTTATTTGCAGATTTGTAAGCTGAAGTACCGCAATTAAACGCAGCATATACCCTGGCGGCATAATGCTTGTGTCTACTTATGAATGCCTTCGAAGTGTCTATCTTTTACCAACACGCTTAGGGTTTACAACAGTAGAAACCCTGCATCCAAATTAAGGATTACGGTATGACGTGTTGTGACGATCGCCCCCACCTCAGCAGCGTCTAGTCCACAGACTCGGCGGTTGATACTGGACAGCATACTGGGTTCGCCAAGTCAAGCACCGTACTCGATCACTCACATAGGAGTGTTAAGAGCACTCATAACCTGCTAGTCGACACCAAGGTTGGGATGTACCAAGCTGTGGTACCGGCACAAAAAGCGAGCACTATACTGATGGCATCTCGGCAGGCCTGATGAGGTTTGTCCACACGCTTAGTGGATAATACTCCGAGCTCAATGATTAGATCGAATCCCTAACGCTGAATGTTTCAACCAAGCTAGGTGCGACGGAGTTGAGTTCACATCAACCTATAGCTTCCTATGGTGAATACTACTACGAATACTAGTATACTACTATTGATATTGATAATAAATACTAATAAGCGCAAGTCCTAGGTCCTGTCGGCACTGATCGGTCATTCATCATCGAATAGCTAAGATGTCAATCTACCTGTCGGGAATTCGCGGATTTGAAGCTTCCTGGATTACGCACTACTGAATGTTCACAAGAAGGATGAAACAGTATTGCAGTGGTTTTCGGCTTTTAAGCATGGACTGGCTACACTTACAGGACGAAATTTTCATGGAAAAAGTCTAAATCTAATACTGACCTACAGTTACTAGAAGGATGGGTCTCGAACTCGAATACGACCCAATTCCCATTACTGTAACGGATCTAAGTAACTATGAAAGCTTTAATTTTGATGTCAGATATTGAGAATCTCTGAAAGTTGATACACCAGCCTGGCAACTCCTGTTTGCATATGGCCACGACCGCTTAAATAGAACAACGCTGTTACTGTGCTACTGTTCAGATACCTTATTTGAACGGGAACAAATGAAACCTGATGCACGAAGTTCGCATTCTAGTATTGGTTTGGTCAGTATTCTGTTTTATCAGGGGGGAGGGGCCGGTTTGAGGAGGTGCGAAGGTGGGATCCCAGAATATATGGTTTCGAAAGCAAGCCTCGCGAGATAGCAATGAATAAACCTTCATTAAGGAGGTTGTCTCGTTTCGGGAACTACCATATTTTTAGTGTTCCGTGTATTTGGAAGTAACTGACCGTGACTTTTTTCTATTGAAATGCTCATTTGTGATAGCACTGACGATGTCATCTCGATTGGTGATGAAACGTTTGCAATCCAACTGCCAAGCTCGGCGAACAGATCAACAACCAAACTCATTTGTGATGTCATGTTCACAAATTCGAGATAACGTGCTCGTATCGCCACGCAAGGTACTGTGAGCGTGTATCGTTGCTTACTGCAATGCACTTGTTGAGTGCGTATGAACCACCTACGATGGACTAGGTCTGCTCGTTGCCTGCTCACCTCTGCTGTCGTCAGAGCATCCTCATTTTAACGAATTTTGCTCCTGTTTGAGGTCAGTTTACTTCTCCGAGGAAGGCCTTCGTAAGAAGTTTAGAATCTTACGGTGCCTCTGTATTATGGAAATTTAACGGTAGTTGACGCAGTTTGTGAGGCGCTGAGGTGACATCTAGTCGGCTTATTCTGGTAGTTGACGAGGTTTTCTTGGTTCTCTTTGAAGTATCCAAGCACATCTGCTGATTTGCAGTCAGAATCTTACATGAAAGGGTTGGGTGCTTCTTTAAAAATCATTCCCATTCACACCCCACATTGGCAAGTTCAATGAACTGCATACTCGTCTCACGCCAAGTTCCTGAGGATTTCCGACATGCGTTCTTTAAAATGAAAATATCTAGCTTGAAGTCAAAATCTCAGAACAATAAATTGGATCCCACCATCAGCGCCAAGTGGAAGGACATCATCGACAGTGGGCAACTAGTATAAACCAATGTATGTGATAAGCGGAATACTATCTTTAAGTAATGAAATTCTCCAGAACTGTTGCTTAGGCAAATAGCAAGGTAAACCATGCTTTTGGAATGTAATTCTGTATATTCCATAGGGACTGACCACCATGTGGATGTGTCTATCTTTAGAGTAAGAGTTCACCTCACAACCTGATTTAGGATTCTTTCTACCAACCAGGGTCCTGCTGTTCACGCACTGTAAATAAAATCAAGACTATCCGTGTTGCACACGGTGGTGTTGAGGTGATATTTCTGGAAACCGATGCCCTACAGAATGTTGCATAGCTGAGCTTCGAACGTGACGACGTTCCTGTGTTTAGGTCCAGGTTTTTGGTAATAAACTTATCAAGCATCGTATCCCATTAGGTATATACGATATTGAATACCGGAGAATGGGGCCCCACGCTGTTCAGGGTATCATTCTTTGTGAAGTGATTGAGAGAGCGTTAAGTTCCACACAGCCGAAAATAACGTTTGGAAGCCACATTAGAGTCATCTGAGTATTTTGCATAGTCAGGTAGCTTTTCCATACACAGAAGAACAGTTTTTGCATTCTGATCGTTGGTGACAGGGATCTGCTCCCCGACTTGACCGAGGCGGTAGTCTCTCCTGTAGGAGCTGACCGGAGTGAT